AAGCAGTGGATCCTGCTTTCACTATCTATACATAGATTTTCACTATCTATGTATAAATCATTCCAGCTACTCCTCCCCTGTCCATAAGGCTGACCCACAACGTCAATATAGGATGGTAAATAGCTACAAGACTGAAATACAGGTAGTCTTTAAGTAGCATTCCCAGAATTTCCCATTTGGGGTCTCTTGCATGCCTTTCTATCTGTCCTCTAACTCCAAATGAGGACAGCCCTTCATATAGCCCTGTTTGGTAGCTTAATAAAGAGATTGTTCCAGGCTACTAGCAAAGCTTCTAGACTTCCACCTCATGCCCCTTTTGCCAAGCCAAGGGTATGTTCCCAGAGCGCAGCTGCCTGGATGGCCACATTTATCAATTACTGGTGACCACTTTTATGGTCATAGTCATGGTATGTTTTAGTTCCCCAAATGAAAGGTAAATTACTGATCTAACGGGACTGGTGTCCTGAAACAAGAGTTAAGCCTGCTCCCTTTAGGCACTGGTGAGGATGCCTGCCTCTTGGCAAACACAATTTTGGAAAGCTCTTGTTACATTTGATCCTTATTTAGTAATGAAATCCTGGAATTTAACTGTCAGAATCCGTACCTTGTTCAAGGCGTCATGAACTCCCTTAAATTGAGCAGCCCAAGAAACTGCTGGTGACAAACACTCTGTCATAACACAACGAAAGGTAGTAAGGAGCAAATATGACACAGCAGCTAGTTGCCTAAAACTCTCTCTTTTTCATTTTATACATTGCAAGCTTCCAGAATGCTTGATAACGTTATAGAAAGGCTTCCCTCATTAGTCAGCAGGTCAAATTATATATTTTCGCTTATGCATATTCATAAATTCTGGGTTTGTTTAAGCATTTGCTTTTGTGCACTCAGTCCTGAATAAAAAGAAAACCACCAAGTTGTTGCTTGTAAAAAATGCAGCTTCTTAAAAACAAATGGAATAATACCCCTTCCACCCAACACACAGGCAGTTACAAGAACATTTTATTTGATAATTAAATCCTTACCCAGAACAAATCATACTCCTAATTGGGCGAAGTATTGCCTGTGAAGGCTAGCAGTTCCTTCATACCAAGTTGAAATAAGCACTTCAGGCAGTTTATAGTGCATCGCTGCTTTCCCTTTTCTCTGGACCAAAGAAATTGTTATTGCTCTCCAATTCTATGAATTAACTAAAGAGATCATCGGAATTAAGGGTCCTCTCAGCCATATGAAGATGGGGAAGTGTGGCTCACACTTCTGCCCTCTTTCCATGTCCCTTGCTCTAACGCCTCTGCTTTCTGCCTTGCAGAGCCCAGCACTGCTGACCAAGGCACTTGCAACTTGCTGACTAGTTTTAGTAGCACTGTTAGCCAAGGAAAGTCAATGAAACAGGGCTATAGCCAGAGCTCCTCCTATGATATGTGATACGCTGTGGTCACACACGTGCCCCACACACTGCTTGCACTGCCCATTACACTGCCACGCTGTGGGTGCTTGGGCCTGCCTCTGGTGGGGCACGCCGGCCTGCACGACACTCCCCATGAATAAAGTACCCCTTGGTGCCGTGTGACAGGGCAGGGGCTCACACTCCTTTTCTCCTCTTACCAGAAAAAAAAAGCATTGGAGTTAATGATTCATTTACAGCCATATCACTATCATAGAATCATAGAATCATAGAATCATAGAATCATAGAATGCCGAAGGTTGGAAGGGACCTCAGAGGTCATCTCATCCAACCCCCCGGCTCACGCAGGGTCACCTAGAGCACGTGGCACAAGGCTGCATCCAAGAGGGTTTTAAAGAGCTCCAGAGAAGGAGATTCCACAACCTCTCTGGGCAGCCTGTGCCAGGGCTCTGTCACCCTCACTGTCAAGAAATTTTTCCCTAAGTTCCTGTGGAAATTTTGGTGCCTCAGCTTGTGGCCATTTCCTCTAGTCCTACCAGTGGCGAACACTGAAAAGAGGCTGCCCCCTCCTCCTCACTGCCTCCCTTGAGGTATTTATACACGCTGATCAGGTCCCCCCTCAGCCTTCTCTTCTCCAGCCTGAACAGGCCCAGCTCTCTCAGCCTTTGCTCATAGGGCAGATGTTCCAGGACCCTGATCATCCTCGTAGCCCTGCGCTGGACTCTCTCCAGCAGCTCCACATCCCTCTTGTCCTGGGGAGCCCAGAACTGGGCACAGTCTCCAGATGTGGCCTCACCAGGGCTGAGTAGAGGGGGACGATCACCTCCCTCGACCTGCTGGAGACGCTCTTCTTAATACACCCCAGGATCCTGTTGGCCTTCTTGGCCACCAGGGCACACTGCTGTCTCATGGTCATCTTGTCATCCACTATGAATCCCTCAAAGCTGCTTGAGGATAATGTGTTTTTATATCCATTTAAATGCAAGCAGAACCTGGTCAACATGTTTCCACAAACAAGCTTCTGAACTTGAGTACTAATAGCCGTACTTTTAACTACTAAAATGGCAACGTGATGTGTGGGTTGTGTGATAAAAGACTTGTCTGTACCCTCACAAAGAGTAATGGGGAATGATAGCTGGTGAGGGGCCCCCATGAGGCACAAAGGAGACTTTGCCCCAACCAGAAGTGCACAAGGAGAGCCATGAGCCCCTTGTGGCCCCTAACATGGCCAGTCAACAGAAGCATTTCTCTGCGTTGCCCTTGGGACTGAGCAGGAGGAGCATTTCAGAATTACCTAAGAGTTATTAAAGGATATTTAGAGGAGGAAGCAAAGAGGTGAGCAAAGTTTGTGTTGGTTCAAGAAGCCATGCATGGGTGGTGTGGGGATACACCAGCAGCAGAAGGGCATAAAGGAGTCAGTCACACTAGGACAGGTTGCTGGTCAGTATGCTTGCATGGCCATGCATGACCAGCACAGCCTGCCCTATCTTCTATTAAACTCCATTTCCATCACTTTTCTTGGTCAAGCTGTGACCTGGCCAGCTTGACAAGGACCAGCTTGGTCCTGACCAGCTGCTGGAGAGACCGTGAGGCCTGGGGGTTGCCTGAGTCCCACGTGCCTGCACACGTGTGTGTGTGTCTTACATGCAGAGACACCTGAATAGACTCCAGGGGCTGCTTTTGGGTAAACTAAATCCAGCTGTTGCCCACTGTTTATACCTGTATTTTATGTTTTTATGTTTATACCTGTTTTTATGTATTTATATTTATACATGTTTTTATGTATTTATGTTTATACATGTATATGTATTTCCCCCTAACAGACCTTCTTCCTGATGAGCCAGACAGAGAGGGGAATAGGATGAGGTTTTCGGTGCTGTTTGTGTTTGCTGTGCAGGTTTTTGTTGATCTCTGTGGCTAACATCTGTACGTATGCATATAAGCACATGCTTGGGTGCTACTGGGAACACATCCTCCGCCTTGCTACTGGTTGCACCTGGGGACAAGGAGTTGCAGCAGTCTGGAAAAGGCTTTTTACAGTTCTCTGGAGCCAAAAAATGACTACTCTGAGTTTGCACAAGCAAATACTCTAAGTAAAATGAGTTTCTCCTTTCATTTTTCATATACCACAACACAAAATCCTTGGAAGATTTTCTTGAATTTGGTGACGCAGGTCTATTCAATTTTTTTGCACTGTTTAGGTCAGGTCATTTAGACAGGTGATTTACAGTGGAATGGCATGTGTTCAGAGAACAGAATTTAGTTTATAACCAAAACTGCCAGCACTTGTCTGGACTGGGAAATTACTTTCAGGAAATTTTTCTTGTGCTAGGAAAAAGTTACTACATTTTAAAACAGGCAAAATGAAAATAGTTATAACTTGCCATCATCATCAGGTCACTGTTGGACTAGGTGATCTCTAGGGGTCCCTTTCAACCTCAACTGTTCTGTGATTCTGTGGTTTCTCATCCTCATGTAGGTAAAGCCACAGACAGTGTCGAAGTCACCTGCGCTCCTCACGTGGCACCTGAGGGCTACAAGAAGCTTCCAGTGACCGAGTGTCCTGTTGGGAAGGTGCTGCCCGGGAAGGGATGGATGTTGTGATCCTGTCATTTTGACCTAAGTTAACCAGTTAATTCTGTGTTCTCTAAAAAAATCAAGTCTCTATTCACATTTTTGTGTGGATTTTTTTTTCCTAATTTCTCGACAAGGAATTAAAAGGTGGCATATATATATACACATATATATGTGTGTGTGTATACATATATATACACATGTATATATGTATATACATATACATGCATACATACATTTCTGGACAAGAAATGAAAAGGCGGCATATATATATACACACATATATATGTGTGTGTGTATATATGTATATATGTATACACACACATACATACACGTATACGTATATACATATATACATGTGTATATATGTATGTATACACACACACACATATATATAAAAATACGTATATATAAATATACATAAGCTCAGATCTTCATTGTTCCCAACTTTCAAAGTCCCTTGGCAAAGTCTATCAACAGAGCAAACATTTATGTAGCAGTATTTAAATAACTGAGGTGTTTCGCAGAGTGCTCAGGGGCCCAGGGCTACCAGGGAAACAGAAGCGATGGGAAAGGCTCCGTTCCGCGGCCAGGACCATCCCGACCTCCCACCCGCTTTCCAGGTGCGGCCTCTTCTCCTTGCAAACATTCCGACTCCCGGAGCGCCTTGAGGAGAGGGGAGGGTGGCTGGGGGCGCTGGGGGCAACGCTGCGGGTTCCCCGGGCCCTGCTGAGACGGCAGAAGGCACAGTTAGCGCACGAGCGGCACCGAGGTGCAGTTTCGGGGCTGCTTTTGCCAGACTTGGGGAGGCCCCAGACTTGGGGAGACCCCAGACTTGGGGAGACCTGCCCGAGCTCCCGCCCCGCTCCCGCACGCAGCGGGCGCGCGCGCGCCGCCAGCCGAGCAAGTTTGGGCGCCGCCGCGCGCCGTAGGCGGAGCGGCGCGGACGCGGAAGTGCCGGCTGGCGGCGGTTGGCGGCCGTTGGCGGCGGTTGGCGGCCGTTGGCCGCTCCTCCCAGCGCGGCGCGGCGCGGGGGAGATGGCGGCGCGCGGCGCGCGGAGCCGCTTCGCGGTGGTGGGCGGCGGCATCGCCGGGGTCACCTGCGCCGAGAAGGTAAAAGCGCCCGCGCCGCCGCTGCCTGGCGCATGGAGGCTTGCGGGCTGATGGCGTTTGTAGAAGCAGAGCTGCGGGGACTCCTTAAGGGCCCGCGGGAGTGAGGTGTCACAGTGACGGAACGGCTCGGGTTGGCAGGGACCTCTAGAGATCATCCAGTCCAACCCCCCTGCTCCAGCAGGGACACCCAGAGCACGGGGCACAGGGCGGCATCCAGGAGGGTTTGGAAGATCTCGAGAGAAAGAGACTCCACAGCCTCCCTGGGCAGCCTGTGCCATTTGTGTCAAGGTTTAATAGTTGAGGAGACTTTGTGTTTTCCTGGAAGTAATTCAAAGCTGAGTTGTGTCAAACTGCAGTGATCCCATTTCACAATGGGATTATTTCTAAAACTATGTGTTAAAAAAACTCACACTTTTAATTGCTTTAAAAGGGACTGGCTGTTGCTCTCTTAAAAATGAGGCTTTCTACGGTGTTGGTGCCTCAGAGTTGCAGCTTCTTTATTAGAAGCTCAAAGAGGGTGCCTGTCAGAGCTGCCACTTTGCCTCACGCCTCCTTTCTCGCGCTCTTTGCCTCACCCTTGCTTCTTTGACTGATTTTTTTTTCCTTGTCAATCTCAAGCCAGATGCTTATGTGATGACAAGGGCCAATGACCTGGTGTCACCTCTTAGCAGAGCAGGAAGTGCAGGTAGCAGTGAGTTTGGACTCCTAGCACACGGTGTCATTCTTTGAGTCCATTAGGCAAGGCACTTGGCCTTCTTGTGTGGTTTCCCAGCTGGGGACAGCTGTTAAAAGGAAGATGAAGCATGATTTTCCCTGTTATGGTTTTGAGCAAGCAAAATTCCCTGTAATTTCATAAACATGCAATAAACAACTTTTTTTTTTTTTTTGTATTGCACTACTGGGAGTCTCTTCCATGATAACCTGCAGTCCAACCTTTTCCTGGGGAGAACCTTCAGTCCAACCTTTTCCTTGCTCCTGAGAACAGTTGTTGCTTTAGGTCCATCTTACAAAAGTGTTTTAGGGTTAGTTGCATTTTGAGTGTGCTCTCAGGGCATTTTGTGGTTTTTGTGAGGCTTGTTTATTAGCTACAGCTGCAATCAACTACACCACAACAGTGTGCTAATTTATTGCATAAAGAGTCAAACTTTCCCTTTTCTGTTGGTGTAAAGCATACAGCTACAAAATCCATGAAATACTTGTTTTTGTGATTCATGCTGCAAAGAATAGATTACTTGAAGTTTCCACACTGCCTGGTGAATTTCTCTTGTGTTTTGTACCTCACTTATGACCATGAGAATTTCTTTTTAACCAGAAGCAAAGTTTTAAACCCTCAAACTTCAGATTAATATGTCAGATATTTCCTATCTGAGGCACAGGAATAAATGCTAGTCACTTTATAGCTCTGTCACTAGTGCTTGATTTGAGATATGCGTCTTGGTGACGTATTCGAGTCATTTGGAGATTACTATTGCAGGAAACTCTGGGTTTTATGTTCATCTCAGTGATGAGTGGTTTGTGCTTTGGTAGAGTTCTCATTTACAGTGCTGGCAGAATAACCAGTGTTTAAGATTGGAGTATTTCATCTTGGCTTGGGCCTTATAAAAATTTTGCCTAATAGGATCCTGAAAATGATAATCTACTTAAGTATCTTTTCCTATTTTAGTATAATTTTATGTTGCCAAAATGAAATCTAAATAGTTAGCCACTGCTATCCAGTAAAAGTTTCCACGTCATTCCCTGTCTCATCCCTCTTCAAATTTGGAGTGATATTTAATCCCTAGGATAATGTATTACATATTACTTCTTTACAATAATTATATGATCTTAAAATAAGATCCTGCTGATGACTGTATTCACTCATCATGTTGTCTTTCTTTCCAAGCTGGCCATGGAATTTCCATCAGAGGATATTCTTCTAGTGACAGCATCTCCAGTTATAAAAGCTATAACAAATTTCAAACAGGTAAGAGGCTTAAATTTTGTTATGGTAGTGTGTCTCCAAAAGTTAATGCATTTTCTCAGTAAAGATAATTTAGAGCTTAATCTTGAAAGCTTATAATTGTGAAATTGTTTTCATATCCGTGGGACTGCACTGCTAGCATTAGTAGTACACCGTTGAGTTTTTTAATTAATCATTAGTAATCATTCATTAATCATTAGTAAATAGTGAATATATTGACAGTAGTAGTGAGTGAGTAAGCAATACTAGTGAATTCATAGTAGTAATGTATTAGTACAAACACTGTTTATATGGTTGAAGTATGTTCTAAGTTCCTACAGAATCTTTGTTCCACTGCTGTATTTGGGGGAGCGCTCCATTTTAAACGCTTTGGATCTTTGGAATAAATTCTTTAGGAAATGAAGCCCTGCGAGTGGATCTCAGATCCCTTTCACACCTTTCAGCCTTTCATACAGTAGCAGGTTTTAATCTCAAGCAGAATCTCTAATAAGTAAGGGAAAAGGAAAATTCAGTGACCTCCTGCCTACTGACTTAAAGTTCCACAGTTGATTTCAGATTCCTGGCTAGTGGACTCTTAAGGCTGGAATTACAGAGGTACTCAGATCTTGTAAAACACAGCCCTAAAACTATCACCTCAAGGAACTTTATTGTAGGGCATGGAAAAGGTTGGAGGCTCGATTGCACAGCAAGTCAGCTGGGAATTAACTTCTATTAATTAGAAGTCCTCCTTCCCAGTTCCTCAGGGAAAGTTAAGACACCTAGAGAGAGCTTCCGCCTAGAATTTACATTCATGGCATTTTCACAGAAACGCTCTGAAACACATGATTTGGCTCAAAGCTGAGGTGCATCTCATGCAGGACAGAGAACAACAGCTCCGCAGGTTATCTCATAGCCAGGTGTGGATGCCAGTCTTTGAGATGTATGTATCCCAGTATTCAGATCACTGCAGAGGGAAAATAAGGAGAGACTTGGACTTGATACGTGGATTGCATGTGTTTAGTGACTGTAATTGGCTGTCAGCACCTCTTTTTGCGCTGTATTTTTTTTCTGGTCTTGGGGACACGTAGGACATAGCTGAGAGACTGAGAGCTACATGTGAGACTGGTAGAGTAACACCTATCTCGAGAATCTCCTGTGAAGCTGAGAGGTGGCAGGAGAGCCCTGGGTGTTTGGGACACACGTTTATGCACTCCAGGGATCTAAGGACCAAAAGTTTCGACATCTGAAGATTGTGGAATAGGTTGACAGGATATTATGAGTGCAGCAGCATCTATTTTTTGGATGCAAATATCTTAATTGCTCTGTAAATTGTAAGCATGGTTTGGCTTCTGATTCCTGGCTGTGTTCCAGACAGGATATCATATAGAATAGAAGGCCCAGAAGTACACATGCAGCTTCTCCATTTTGAAAGAAACCCAAAATGAGCTTAACTACTTGGATATTTTCTGAGTTTTGGTTTTCTCTCTTTTTTTTTTTTTTTTTTTTTTTTTTTTTGGTCAGTATCTGATATTTCAGGGCCTGTTTACAGATGAATAAAAGGTTAGAGGTGATCTGCAACTTGGTTTGCCTAAATGCTGTTCAATATGTTTTGCTTAGAAGTATCTTCCTAAGATAAGAGCTATGTACCTGCAACATGGGTATTTTGATGTTCATGTTTTTGCACAAGGAAAGAAATCTAGACAAAAATAATCCATAAATGTCCAAGCTATTCTGACCCTAGATTTCCTCCAAAAGATCTAGGAGAGAAATATATCTTCATGGAAGAACACAGTCCAAATCATTTTGTTATGAATTTTAGGAAAAGAGATGAATAAATTACTCATATTTTTAAGTGTCTTTTTCCTGCAGGTCTCTAAAACACTTGAAGAATTTGATGTAGAGGAACAACCAAGTTCTCTACTGGAAAAGCGGTACCCTAATATTCAAGTGATACAGTCTGGAGTAAAACAATTGAAAAGTGAAGAGCATGTAAACTAAATTTTTCTCTTTTTTATTTTTATGTGTGTTCTTCAAGTTATGTAAGAAAAAAATTAATGAACAGATGAATATTTCTGACAAAAGAATGATACTTTCTAATTTTTATTTCATGTATTGCTTCTACTGTTTTTTCAGTAAAACTGTATACATGAGACATAATTATGGAGTATTTGTAAGGAATCATATTTCTTAGATTTAAATATTTGATATCTTATATTTATTGTCTTGAGTATCTGATTGGAATAACAGGAAACTAGTCAATACAATCAGTATTGTGTGTCAATGTAGGTGTCTAAAAACTCCTGAAATCAGTAATTGGAGATCTCTGTGACTCCTGAATTATTATTACTTGCTGCAGAGGCCAAAATATTAATAGCATTATGGCGTGCAAGAAAAAAATATTGAAAGAACCAACACTTCTACCTTTTTTTTCCTGTTCTTTTTTTTCCCAGAAAAAAACGTTGCAAGTACAAACAATGTACAGCAAGTACAGATCTCTTGTAGTGCCTAAGTCAACTTGACATGTTATATTCCACTTGAGTATTATTGGGAACTCATGTTCAGTTCCAGATCAGCTTTGTTCATTTAGAATTGTAGAGCTGTGATTCCAGAGATTATAATTCTGCTAATATTCTGTACCTAGTGATGATCTTGTGGTTTCATTCTTATCATGCTTTTAAGTTAATTTATGTCCCTGAAACACCAATATTTCTCAATCACAGATTTGAAGAATCTTTTGCCTCTGTTATGACATAACTTTTAAAATTCTCTTTGTGCAGAAGCACTGCAGATTATTTACCTTCTGGTTAGGAAAACAATAACAAATTCATAAAATGTTACATTTTAAATGCTTCTTATTGCAGAGTGGTATAGCTTTTGTAACATCTACACTTCTTCATTATCAAAAAACAGAATAAGCTGTTCAGTCTAGTCAATATCTAATTACAGTACAAGTCTTTATTTAAATACCACAAGTCTTTTATTTAAATATTAAATGAGATTCTTGATTGCTAATATTTAATAGTGCATAGGTCTATATCTACTACTTTTTTTTTGTAAACTTGTAAGTACAACTTTATTTTGAAATCAAATCTTATAAAGAAGCTGTTTGACCTGTGAAATAATCCATCAGTAATCCATGCAAACAAGAGAAACAGTCTATATATAAAAGCATCCAGCTTCTGAGCACAGAAGCAAAAGCTGTCGCTGAGATAAAATAGCACTTGGGCTAACAACACTGCATGTTCTGTTATGTTGTGCAAGTTTGGCAGGGAGCTGCCACGTGTAAAACTAGTCCTTTGAACACAGAAACTGAGCACAGGGTGCCACCAAGAGGAAAACTTCTTATTTTATCCCTGCTTGAGCGCACCATGTGCACTCTCTGTTTTACTGGTCATATCATATGATAAGACTCAGAAGTCTGTAGTGAGTGTAATACAATAAAATAATACATCATGAAACACGAATGAAGGTATGTTAGGGGGTTTTTTGGGGTTTTTTTTTTTTTTTTTTTTTGGTAAGATGCTAGATAAAGCTTTTAATATCTGCAAATGCTGTAATGCTAAATGTAACACTTAAGTTTTCTTGGATGGCTCAGCTCTTTTTTTTTTTTTAATTTCTTCTTGATTCTTAACAGAAAATTTTGACCGAGGATGGGAAGGAGTATATGTATGAAAAGCTTTGCCTATGTGCTGGAGCAAAACCCAAATTAATTCTAGAAGGAAACCCATATGTATTAGGCATCCGGGATACTGACAGTGCACAGGTAAATGTAGCCTGGACTTAAACATCTGTAATAGATTCTTGTTTCTGATGAAAATACTGAATACAGTGGTCAAGTGAAAGGGAGAAACATCAGGCAATGTTTGTTATTTTATGCCCTAAAGTAGGAGCATTTTTAGTAGCAGAAAAATGATTCTTGGTTAGGTTTGAAATAAAATGTGAAGTGGTGCTGTACAATCCAGAGAAAAATACTTTGTAGACTGGACACTTTACCTCTTACACCGCTGAGACATAATTTGTACACTTGTTTCTTTTAAAAAGTTTTACAGGCAAATCAGATCTCAGTCTTGCTACAACCTATTTTATAAATTGATGAAGAAAACTTAATTTGGTTTGTACTTGTGTTATTTGTACAAGTTATGGTGAAGTTACATAAGTTATGATAAAACTGGTTTAATAGATGTCACAGTGCTTGTACAGAAGAAAGAGGAAAGGATCCTGGATTCTGTTACAGGCTGTGCTGATTTGGCTTATATTTAACAGCTTTTGTATCAGTTTGAGACTTAAATGGCTATTGAAGTACCTCTGTCCTCTTATATGACAGAACTTAACAAGTTTTATGACCTTCTTCAACAATTCTTTAACATAAATAAATGTATATTGGTACTGAAAAGGATATATTTGATCAGTGCAAGGGAAACATGATCAAAGTTGTAGTTCACTTTTTTTGTTTTTTATCAATATAGGCTTTTCAGAAGAATTTGGCTCAAGCGGAGAGAATAGTAGTAGTAGGAAATGGTGGCATTGCACTTGAATTAGTGTAAGTAAACTATTTAAGTTACAAAGAAATGTATGCAGATAAAATCTTTAACAATTAGACCTTAAAACTAATGTGCATAAATTTGGAGGAAAAAAGGTCACCTTACGATAAAATTGTAAATCTTAAGGTATTTAGAAGCAAAATTTGTGAAAATTATTATTTTTCATGACATAATGGCACTTACTGTTACAAAAAATTTAGCATGCGTCAAAAGAATCTTTGATGTACAGACATCAAGAATATATAGACTTGTTCTGATCTGTAATCAACAAAGTTTGCTACTAAGGGTAATAAGTAATAAAGCATGTCTGTCTTAGGAACAAAGGATACAAAGGTTATAGAGAAGCAGTTTATCTCACATCAACCTCATTTAGATTGATAGACTCTTGAAGAGTCTGAAACAACCTTTGTCACAAGCAGGAGGGCACGGAGTCATATGGTCCTCTGGTCCTAATACATGGCAATAACTTTTATATCATATGATGAAGTGGTCTTGTTTTGCACTACAGGAGTGTAAGCAGTTCATTGCTTACATGAATACTTGGGAGATTTAGTGGGTGTGAAGTTAATCTAGGATATATTGTTTCGAGCTTCTGGAAAGACCCTTATTTTTGCTGCTATTTATTTGACAGTCTTGTTTTATCCATTGTTTAAATGTCTATTAAGGTATGAAATTCAAGGCTGTGAAGTAATCTGGGCTATCAAAGACAAAGCCATTGGGAATACGTTTTTTGATGCAGGAGCAGCCGAATTCCTCATTCCCAAGCTAATTGCTGAAAAACGAGAGACTGCGATAGCATGTAAAAGAACCAAGTATACCATGGAAGGTATGGTGCTTCCATCTTCTTACTCTGCAGCAGCAACTTTAATATTAAAGGAAATCCTGAAATCAGTTAAATTAACAGCCTTTAGATATTTTTAGTTATTAGTTAGATTTCCTTTTTAAGAAAACCCTCTTCAATATGCATGCATTTATGTGAGACTCTAAAATATGGTGTATTTAATACAGAAAAATAAAAAATACAGGGTTTATATACTGTAAAATAATAAGTTTCAGCTTACCTTGGCAAGCAACCAGATCGTCCTTCTCTCAAGGAATCCTTGTTCTGAATTCTGCAAGCACTGAAGTCTGTAGATATAAATATATATGCTAAATCTGATATCCTCCAACTCTTTCCTTCAGGAAAAGAGAAAAAAGAAAGACCTGTGGCAGCACCTGACGAACTGGGCAGTGCCTTAGGCCCTGACTGGCACGAGGGCTTACGCCTCAAAGGCACTAAAGAGGTACGGCCGTAATGTTCCTGCTCACGCTTTGTGTCGCTTGAGGTATATAGGGATTGCAGAAGTGAAAAGCACCTTGAGGATTTTTAGAAAAACAAAAAGAAAATGTGCTTGAATTCCTGTTTACCAGAATTATGCTGGAAAATAAATGATCATGAATGCCATTATTTTTTGCTATTTTCTGCAGTTACTTTTGCTTCCTGAAGAAGGTGGCAAATTGGATCCATTGGCATGGTCTTAGACTGAACCACAGAAATGTTCTTTGCACGTTTCTGAAAGACTTCTTCTTCTATGCAGACTTTAACCGGAAGCACTGTTACTTGTAATACCTTAATTTGAGTTATTTTCAGCTGCATTTTACATTGTGAAATACTGGACTGTAAAATGTATACAAAGAACATTAATCTCTTGTTGCAGCAAATAATGAAATGCAAAGTAATTAGTGGAGTGGACATGGAGGCTGTGAGAATTTTTTATGCTTAAAATCAAATTAAAATACTCACACTTTAGTTATTTTTATCACCTTTTTATCAATTTCTTAAGTGTTCAGTGTTTGCATCTGTTAAATGTTTTTAAATAAAAAAAGCCTGTCAGAGATGAATAATCGTAGACTTTACGAACCTGCAATGCCAACTAAAGGATATTTAAGATGTTCAGTACACTAATGGATGGTATTATAGCAGGTAGAGACTGGAAATGTGTTTGATTAAAAACAAAGATTAGAGCTGGTCACAGTCTCAATCCACAAAACAGTTTAGAGAAACTGAAACCTTTCCAATTTACGTCTTGAGCTCAGGAAAGGATTATGTGGTTGAAACATGGGCTGATGGAACCAGATTATTATATAATATTAATATATGAGTTAATGTAATATGTTCAGAATTCATGATAAATATGTAGGATTTGAAATCCTGAAAGACAAAAAATAGAGCTTAGCTTTTTCAGTTCTGAAAAGTTCTGTTGTCTCTTCCTGTGCCAAAACGAATGTGTGAGAAATCAGCTAATGTGTCCTACTGTGAGGTGCAGTATGTGCACTTTCTGCTGTTCAGTTTACTAAACAGTTCAGTTTAAGGGGAAGTATGTTTGCTGTTAGAATATTGCTAATGTTAATCGTTATTTTTACAATTTTCTCTATCTTTCTTTAGTTTTCTCATAAAGTACATATTGAAATATTATGTGAAGTAAAGCAAATATTCCTGCAACAAGAATTTCTACAGCTGAAACGGACTTCGCTGACTTTTCCTAAGGAAGAGAAAAACGTAGCAGCAGATGATGGTAAGTGCAGAAAATTATAGAATTCAAGCTGAAAATAAAGCATAGATGAGGCATGTTGGTTGGTTTAAAGAGATTTGTTTTGGAGAGCTCAATGGAGCTATAAAAATTTTCAGTGGTTAAGGGTTTGATTTACTTGCCCCAATTAAATTACAAAATGCTGGTTGTCATACTTTTTCCACAGTCACCTAGAAACTGTATACAGAGTATGCCCCTACGTGGCAGTCTAAGTCATGTATTAATAATGCAGTTAAACAGAACCAAAAATTTTACCCTTTACTGTCAAACTCTGAAATCGTCTCTCAAAAGAATATGGTAGAAAATATAACTTCATCAGATCCTGTCTTTGAAGTTCATTGAATGGTACTTCATTGAATTGAAAGTGGTAAATGCCAGTATAAGAAGTATCTAGTAACTTATGTTTCTGGCGTTCTCTTTGCTTCTGAGGTATTTTCCATTCATCAGTAATTCCATATATGAAACAATAATTGGCAATTACATGATTCCTCAGAGCTTTTATGAGAGTTAGCCACAGAACCCCATGTTGGTTTGGTGCAGTGTCAAGACATAACACTTTGTTCTTGTAAATAAGGGATTTGATTCAGGAATGTTACAGAGGAAACAAACAGTGAAACTGGGAACTAAGCTTTCAAATCTCTTTTTCTAGATCTAAACTAAGAAATGTTATATGCAATATAATTTTTTTCTTACCTCATCAACTAGATACCTCAAAAGATTGTGTTTTCTCATTTATTTTACAACTATCATGAGACATAATTTATAAAAAAAAATCTTCTGTTGGTTACATTCTCAGGGCAAAATTTTCCCCTTTTACAGTTCTGTGGCCTGTATATGTGGAATTAACTAATGGAAAAATTTATGGATGCAATTTCATTGTCAGTGCAACTGGAGTTGTGCCAAATGTTAAACCGTTTATTGATGGCAATAATGTAAGTATACTGATTTATCTTGAAGGGTTTTTTTTTGTTAAGTAGGAAAAATAAGGGCTTGACAGTTGATTTATGTTTCTGAAATAAATTGCTGAGGTTGTGCAAGTTTTATGCTGTACAACATTAAATGTGGTACCACATAAAGGTTCGTATTTGATGTTGAAAATGCCTAACCTGATAAACAAATGAAATTCATTTTTAACTTATTATATTGCTATTCATAACAAAACATACAGAATCACAGAATATTCAAAGTTGGAAGGGACCTCTACAGGTCATCTAGTCCAACCTTCCTGCTCAAGCAGGCACACCTACAGCATGTGGCACAGGGTGGCATCTAGATGGGTTTTGAAGACCTCCAGAGTAGGAGACTCCACAACCTCCCTGGGCAGCCTGTTCCACTGCTCTGTCACCCTAACAGTAAAGAAGTTCCTCCTCACCTGGAGACGGAACTTCCTGTGCTCCAGCTTGTGGCCATTACCCCTCGTCCTGTCGCTGGCCACCAGTGAGAACAGCTTGTCCCCTTCCTCCCTGCATTCTCCCTTCCTGAACTTACACATATTAATCATATCCCCTCTGAGCCGTCTCTTCTCCAGAGAAAACAGGCCCAGCTCGCTCAGCCTCTCTTCATACAAGAGATGTTCCATTCCCTTAATCATCCTGGTTGCTCTTCTCTGGACCCTCTCCAGAAGCTCCACGTCCCTCCTATACTGGGGTGCCCAGAACTGCACACAGTGCTCCAGGTGCGGCCTCACCAGAGCTGAGCAGAGGGGCAGAATCACCTCCCTCCATCTGCTGGCAACACTCCTCCTGATGCAGCCAGGATCCCATTGGCCTTCTTGGCCACGAGGGCACACTGCTCACTCATGGTTAACTTAGTGTTAACCAGGACTCCCAGGTCCCTCTCCGTGGAGGTGCTTTCCAGCAGGTCAACCCCTAATCTGTACTGATGCCTGGGGTCATTCCTCCCCAGGTGCAGGACCCTGCACTTGTCCTTATTGAACCTCATGAGGTTCCTCTCTGCCCAACTCTCCAGCCTGTCCAGGTCGCTCTGGATGGCAGCACAGCCCTCTGGAGTGTCGGCCACAAACGGTTAAGAAACATCTGTATAATTGATGGATACAACAGAAATTTAGAATCATTTCTGTTTCCATACCAAGCAAACTCCCTTATGACAAATGTTGTCATCTCATGGGAAGTAAACATGATTTGCTATCTATGAAACTGAGGCTTATCACTTATATTCATTGGCGATAGTCACACACTGAATCAGAGTCTGACCATGGACAATGATTACAGATTTTTTAGCCACCAGGTGAATTTTCTGGCCTTGAGATCATTGTATCTCCATGTTAGGGTTGTTTGCTTGCTTGCTTGCTTGCTTGTTTTCTGATAATGAAGTAGAAAGCTGCCAGAAGAAAATTAGGGAAACATACGATTAGTGTTGAGCCATGAAATATTCCCAGGTACGATTTAGAGAGTTAGCTTAGGCATTGGGTTTGCAGTCAGAAAGAAATGCAAAATGAATGCTAAATTGCTAGGTGTGCCTGTTACCTACGTGGCGTGATTGGAAAGAAGGCACACTCTGTTACTTCTCTGCCAGGTATCCAGAATAATAACTAGGCACACCCTAATGTTGTTGGCCTGCTGTGCAGCTTGTGTCACTTCAGATGATCTCACCTGAAATGGTTATTAGATGTGATTAGATGTGATTAGATGTAGCTTTTATTGCTACATGGAGTTCTGGGTTGTTAGTTATTTTAAAAGGTATGTGAAGCTCACCTGTAAAATGCAACATGGATTACCTCTTAAACTTTGTATATGAATATTTTTTATGTAAATATAAAAACTGCTTATTAATAGTATTCTAAAAGGAGCTGAAGTTTAAATTTTCCCTGATAAATCCTGAAATTTAATAAATTGGATTGCTGCTACTTGATCTTGAAAAAAGTAAAAGAATAAAAAAGGTGAGAAAAAACAGAGATTGGTGGGAAATATATTTCTAAGCTATTTTTTCTCTATTTGAAGGACTCTAGGTTTGAATAGTAAGATTCCAACATAAATCTAGGAGTTTATTGCATTATAATGTAAAGAAGTAATGCTCTAGCAGGCAAAGCTATCTGAAGAATAGGTAAACAATTAACAAATTTACTTCATTATGATACTCTTATGGGAATCAGTTTAATTCTGTTAAAAATGATGGAGACTTTTCTTAAGATTGGAATCTTTATGTAATATGTTTTCCTATGATTATCAGTCTTCTATAGCTGAGTCAGATTAGATGGGCGAATGAACAGGCATAAATTGTTGAAAATAAATAAATGACCTTTTTCTGACCTTTTTATGTTGCTAGGGGGCAGCCAGTAATGCCTTGCTGGGTTCAGTTAGTATTTACTCATGTAGTTTTAAGTATTCAGATATTTTGGGTAAGAGGATCAGTGGATTTGCTGAAACACTGTAGAGATGTCTGCCACAAGAACTAACGAAGTGGCCACTTAACAAGGACTGAGCTGAATTACTCAGTTAAAGTGCTTACTTTTCTTCAGTGCTGATCACTGCAAATACTTAGTTTGCTCTAGGTGAAGATGGAGGACTGAAAGTGGATGAACACATGCACACATCCATAGCAGATATATATGCGGCTGGGGATATCTGCACAGCTTCGTGGGAACCCAGCCCAGTGTGGCATCAGGTAAGGCTAATCAGAGGAGTCTGCTCTCAGCAGCAGCCTCATCTTCACAGTAAATCCTTTGCGGACTTTAGGCATGTGGAAACCAAGTTCAGCTGAACGGGAAAGCACTAAGTAAGGAGATAATCCTGAGTGTGTTATGGCAGAAAATTTTATCCTATGGTTGAAAGCCAAGGTGGTTGATTAGCCTGAGTATAATGAAGGTGCTTAGCGTGCAGTGATGAGAACAGTGACTGCTGTTCCGTGCACAGTCACACGTGTCTACGTGCCTTGGATTTCAGATGAGGCTCTGGACTCAGGCGAGGCAGATGGGCTGGTACGCAGCAAAGTGCATGGCAGCAGATACCCTGGGGGAATCTGTTGAGCTGGACTTCTGCTTTGAACTGTTTGCTCACGTGACAAAATTCTTCAATTACAAGGTAAGGTAGTTACGTGCCAATAGCTTAAACCACTGAACAACACATGCTGTTTATATTCATTCACATACTGAGCATATGCTTCAATATTGACAAAACAGTCAATATTAAAACAGCCACATAACAGTCTCAGTTCAGATTTCTCCATTCCTATTGACTTTGAATGCTGAAATTGAAGAGGACAAGATCTTTACAGATACATTTTAAGTGGTGAATGCCAGCTGATCTGCTTTGCATCTCAGCACACATTCATTTCCATTTCTTTAAGAGGCTGTTCATGGATAAATTCAATGCAATTCAGCAAGGTTCTATCTTTTATATTCTGTGTCATGTTTCAAGGTGAATATTTTAAAAATTTTAGCCACAAAAACCAATTGCAATTGGATGTGTACGTATGCATATACATTTATGCACAAATACTATTTGTGTGTGCATATACAGTATATATAAAAATACATACTTTTTTTTCCATGAAGGAAAATTGCTTATAGCTGTCTTCTCAAGCTGGCAACTGTCATCTGCAAAAAGATTAGAAGCCACTGTAATGTTCTCATGAGAGCTTTTTCTTTTCCTTTCTGGTAGGTGGTGGTCTTGGGAAAATACAATGCTCAAGGCCTGGGTTTAAACCACGAACTGATGCTGAGATGTACCAAAGGGCAAGAGTACGTTAAAGTGGTGATGCAGAATGGAAGAATGATGGGAGCTGTACTGATTGGTGAAACAGACTTGGAAGAAACCTTTGAAAACTTGATTTTAAATCAGATGGATCTTTCAGCCTATGGGGAAGACCTCCTAAATCCAAATATTGATATAGAAGATTATTTTGATTGAACTGAATTCCTTTTCTGTTTTGTATAAAACAGTTCACTCGGAATTAGCAGAAATCAGGGATAAATGCAATTCCTTAATAAGATTTTGTGTTGATATTGTCAAATACTGAAAGGCACGTTGGAATAGAGAAATTGGTGTAGAAATTCAGCAACAGAAGCAATGATTTAGTGTGCGTCTGGGTCTAGGCTAGGTGAGAACTCGCTAATGGGTATAAAACTCATACAAACTACCCTGGGCTGTGCTGTTTTGACAGCACTGCATTCACCTTTGCTGTTCAAAGAATGCAGCTAAACCCCTCCAGAATAGGCGTTGCAGCCAGTGCCTCCCTCAGAGCTAAGTCACTTCTTGCCCACACCAGGCGTGTTCCACCTGGCCGTGACTCCCAGGGCCCCGTTTCCCCCTAAAGTTACTGCCCCCGCGCACAGCTCAGTCGTAGGAAGCTCCGAGTCGACTGTCGTGCCCAGGCCAGGCAGTAGCTTGGGCAGGGATGTCCCCCTTGTTCAGGTGGTGGGGCAGTTGCACAGTGTGCGTTTTTAGTGTCCACTAAAAAGAACACTTTCTGTCCTCTGTTCTTACTTACATTGCTGTGCCCAGGGGTTCCAGAAAGGAACTTAAGTTGCAAAGTGGGGTTGAGGTTGGTTGTTTTAAATTGAACACTCCCTGGATGTATGTTTAGAGCTAATGTAAAATGCACTTTAATAATGGTGATGCCATTTAGGTACCTGTGTGTGTGTGTGTGCGCGCGCGCAAACTTGCTTAAATCAGCCTTAACTTAACAGTTTAAGGTATTCCTATCTGTCTTCTCCCTAGGGCACAGTGCCATTCGTGGGCATTAAGTTGTTTCGTATTTCATATTACTAGTTTCAAATCTAAATGCTACTGGATTTTTTCTTTGTAAGAATCAAACTGGGAAAAGATATACTGTCTTAGATACAAGAGTGGAAGGACATTATGGACTTTCCCTAGAAGATAAAAAATAGACTAAAGTGAGTGATTGTTTAAATAAATGAGTAAATTCCACTTGACCAAAAGTTTAAGTTAAACGATGGGACTTTTAGTCTATGCTTTAGTCCTTTTCGGGATGCTACCAGGAAAATATTTGGTTTTTAATCCTTTGGTTTGTTTATATTTAACTATATATCTAAATGCTCAAGTGTGAGGAAATGTATTTTAGAACGAAACTTACCAGAACTTAAGTTTATAAGCGGAGTTTAAACAAACTCATCTATCATGCTAAGATAGGCTATGCTAAGATTCTCAAAAAATGGAAGGGTAGCAGTTAGACTGCTTTGAGTGTCAGCAGCTCTTGAAGTCAACATTGTCTTTTCTGAAACACTGATATATTGTTAGCATTTCTGTTACACATACCCTTAGGAAAGAGTCCTGGAATCTAAAGCCAGCTCTGGAGTGGGAGGCAAAAAAAACGCTATGGTGAATGAAGACTGTCCTCAGCTCCTGGAGACTGCTGAGGAGAGCCAGTATGGCTACGAGGATGATGATGGATGGATGGAGGCGGCTGGTGCAGCCCGCTGAAGGGCACTGTTCTGTTAGGGGTGAGGGTTACACAGCAGAGGACATGCACAAACCTCATACAGGTGCTCAGGCTGAAAAAGCAGCGCTGACAGTCGCAGCAGTGCTAGGCACATGGTAATGACAGGAGCATAAGCAGTTCTGGAGAAGTAAAAAAACTCCTTCTGCTAAGCCCTTTATTGCAGAAGAGCTGAAGCTCCTAACAGGCCTTTCATCTGACTACTGGAAAATATGAGCTCTTCTGGATTCCTCCAGCACTACTTTGTATGCTCTGCATTTGAGATTCTTTGAGGAGCTTTTACGGTGCAAACATTAAGGTGGTAAAATTGTTCTTTTTTGAATAACAACTTCTAAATAAAGCTTCCATGAAATAGATTTAAAACACTCAAAAAAGCAACCAAGATTTTTGGCTCATATTACTGAGCAAATGGTAAAGCTTGACTTAGTAAGAATTCTAGGCTTATTCAAGGCTTATTTTGTAAGAAGCTGTAAATGTAATTCTAGCACTGAGGACTGTGACTACACTGTGACCAAACCTCTAAAGCTATTTCAAGTTCAGCTGGACTTTATGTACTTTGAAACTAGCTAATGTTGCTGGTGCATCCTAACAGCAGACCCATGCAAGTGCTGTAAACACGGGTTAGACCACTGCAAAAGCTTACTGATCCCAGGGAGAAGTTGCTGATCCAAGCTGTGCGCGCAGCTCTGCCCCAGGCAGGTCAGTCTGTGACAGGTTCTCTCCCCTGCAGGGTCAGGGCTCTCTTGAGCTCATGTGAGAGACAAGAGTTGACATTTTTAAGGTGAGATCAGTCTCCTTCACCGTGCTGCCTTCTCCCCTGTATTCAGCATCCTTGTTGTGCTGCTTCTGTTTTTGTCATCGCAAGCTGTGGAGAGGAAATGGTTGATAGCAAGGGTAGTTTCATGAATATTGAATTAATCTTACACTCTGTCACAGACTCAACGGAATGGTTGAGTTTGGAAGGGACCCCTAGAGATCATCCAGTCCAGCCCCCCTGCTCCAGCAGGGACACCCAGAGCACAGGGCAGCATCCAGGCTGGTTTGGAAGATCTCGAAGATCTCCAGAGGAGACTCCACAACCTCTTGGGGGAGCCTGTCATCCTCAAGGAAGAAGTTCTTTGCTTTACAGCCCTCTTAGTAGGGGGTTATACAAGCAAAGTAGAAATGACTTGGAAGGTAGAGGACAGGGAAAGGACTTAATCTTCAGATTCTTCAGATGAAAGGAAAAAATAAAGTGTCAGAAGCACCAGAACTCCACAGCTGTAAGCCCAGCCTTTACTTCTACTATTGTAGTCTCTCATATACATATATATAAAATACAGAAGGTTAAATTACAACTCAAGTAAGTAAAATTTACTAAAACTTTTAAAAAGCAACTTTTTTGAAACAAAGTAGTATGTTCCCCCTTGCCATTGTTAATTGCTCATTAACAATATGTTTAAGAGTACAAAAAAATAAAGTTATTTGTATCAAATAGTTAAATGCACCTAAGATTTGAGATTGCATTTAATCCCCTGGCTCTTACGTGCAGCTTCCCCGTTATTCATTTAAGGCCCAGGGCAAGGAGGCCCTCTCTGCCTTTGAGATGAACCAGCTCCGAGCACTGACAGCCCCGTACTTGGCGCCACCAAAGGGAGAGCTGGTCTCTTCTTGCTCCCAGCTCTGGCACGTCCCTGTGGAACTGGTTGGTTCCAGCCACACAGTTCCCAAGGCAGCGACAGCAAAAGACTTGGCCAGTGCCCAAACACTTATTTCTGAAGCAGCTGCTCTTTTCCCAGACTCATCCAGGTAATAGCTTGAATACTCCTGATCTTCTATCCTCAGTACTTGGTATGTTAACGTCTTTCAGTGCTCAGTCTCAGGCCCTGGCCCTGCTCAGCTCTGAAAACATTTCTCTTTTGCGTAGCTCTGGCAAAAAATAAAAAATAAAGCCAAGCAGTCGGGTTTGACCTAATTCCAAATCCCAATTTCCTTACATTTTATTGCAACTTAGCTCTAACATCAAATCTTGTACTTGTAAAATGCACAGGACACAACCTCTCTCTTCTACCCTTACTTTATAATTTTATCAACTTTCTTCTGTCAACAACGATTATTTTCACTAAGTGTGCATTAAATATTACAGAGAAACATTCCAAAATTTCACACAGTAAGAGTACACAAGCCAAAGAGCTTCCTTCCACCATAGCAGCTGTTTGCACCAACTTCTTTGAGAGGTATCTTCAAGTGACCTGTACTTCTTCAGATCAAGATTTCCACATTCAGTATTTTTTATTTAGATTGTTGGAATGAAAAACTCAGGTAGAAAGGTGTGTTGGCTGGTATGCAATAAAAAACAAACCAACAAACAAACCCCACACAGTTTAAAGCATGTCAAGTTGTAAGCTGAGATTTGAAATTCACTCAGACTCCAGGTCTACAGCATACAATTAATGAGTGCAATCTTAATGCACAGCAGCATCACTTTATAAAATCTATCCTCAGTACTGCACAGCTATAATAAATACAGATAAAACTACACACGATGCTCAATATGTTAACTGCACAGCTGTAATAAATACAGACAAAACTATACACGACGCTCAGTGGCCACTGCTGACAGTTCTTGGCAGTTTTTCAGCTCCTTGGGATGGGGGAACACGCCTCAGCATCCGCAGCAGAAAGTACCTTGACAAAACTAAACTGACACATGAAAAGAACTGGGAGCCACAAGAGAGGAGCTGCATTTTAAGTGGAAACATGTTCCTCCCTAACCATGGCCAAGCAGAGATGTGCACCTATAGTTAGTTGCCTTCTCTCCCATTTTCATAACCACAGCAGGAGCTGCATAAGCAAATATATGGGTGTATTTCTCAGATAGGTTAAAGGAATAAAATACAAAAATGTCCCAAAGATTAAAACAAGTTGAAAAGTTGAATGAATTAAATTAAAAGAGTACATTAAAAAAAAAGATTAAACTTCATACAGTCCACATTCAAGGCCACCAAGAACTACCCAGGCTCCATACTGCAAAGGAAGGACAGCCAGAAACTACCCTCAGAGAAGCAGTGGTGTCCATCCTTGGGGCACTCAAAACTCAGAAACAATCCCGAGTAATTTGCTCTAATTGGACCAGCTTTCACAGCACTAGATCATCTCTGGAGGTGCCTTCCAACATGTTTCACTCTGTGATTAAGTGTCTTTATAGGCTGCACTTTCAAAGAAAGAGGTTACAAAAGGCAACATTACAGTTTTTTACATTTTGTAGTCGCCGCTGTATCACAAGACAGGTAGCAATTACTTGGATATCAAGCACTTGTCCCTTTGCTATTTATTCAAGTGGTGCTAGATTTGAGGTAGAGCGAAGGGTTTAATCTTCTCTGTATAACCAAGTTTTAATAATATTTGTCTTCCCTTGACCCTTTTTTTTTTTTTTTTTGTAAAGAACCCAGGTCCTTTTAACAGAAAATACTATTACTAAAATACAAGCTGAACTTACAATTGTCCATAGAGAAGCAAACTTCATTAGTCCTAGATGTAGCCTCTAAGACTCAATCAAGAACTATTGGTTTTTCATTTCCACCTGCCTCAAGCTTAATCTTCTTTGCTTTTAAGTTGGTTCCACAGTTCGGCCGCTTATGTTCTTGCGACTTCTTCACTGCTGAGTTTTGGATATTCTTTGAAGTATTCTGAGTGTTTCCTCCACTTCCTTTCAAATTTGCAGACTGGGATGGTTTGTTCTGTAAATGAGAAACAGCTCTATTAAAATTGCAAAATTCAGCAAAATGTACCCATGCAAGAGAAAATGAAGAGGTCTGTTTTAAGTCTTGTTGCTTGTATTACCATGCAAGATGAATCGTAAAAATGCCAACCTGTTAAAATTATTGGAAAACGTATCTATATACTGTCAGATATAAATACCCTGTAAATGCTTTTCTCATTTGTTGTCCACTTTATTGTGATGGTGTGTGCCTCATTCCTTAGCAGATCAGCCTTTGGTCCTTTCTTCAGGTAGGATATTGTCGCAAATGCCGTGAAGCTGAAGTCTTCCCTGCAGAAAATCAAATCACAGTGTTATAAGGGATGGCTGGAGACAAACAAAATAGACCACATGGGGGAAAAAAAAGCATTTAGTAACTCCTCTGACAGATGTTGTTTCTGCTTAACTTACTCAAGCAAAGAATTACTTAGTTTAGAGGGGCTCCCTACACTTGGCAAATCAGTTTGTGGGGCCGGGGCAGAGGACAGCGCAGGCACCTGCGCATCTCTAACTGCTCAAATACATCGGAGAAAAAGGAGGAAAAAAATACCTAGTCATCCATCAGCTCACCCTCTTTGAAGTAGAAAAAGCCAATTATGCAAACAAATGACAAGAAATAGGCCACAAACAAAGAGACTGAAGCACTTGATTTTGTGTATCAACTAGAATTTACAAACCTGTATGAGACAGAACACCACACGGAAGCACTGCTAGTATTTCATGGTCTCTTAAAAATTTCTGAGTGCCACCTTTCACACTTGCCCCCCTGTCCTAACTTAGCAATCCATTTGCTCTGCTTATCCATGAGATGTTAATAAGATTCAATACAAAAATAACTGACTCATTTAAAATGAAGCTTGCTGCAGATTTAGGAGTTTCGACTTATGCAATCACAGAAGATCCCAACTTTCTAAAACTGCAAGGATGCACAGAAAAGTATTTCAAGTCTTTCACAGCCTCTACGTTAGCACTTGATAAATAGAAGTAAAAAAAATCTTTTCTGTCTTTTGTAATACATCCAATACTTCTGAAATACAAGCTAAAGATTAACATTATTAGAAAGCAACAGGACTGGTAGATTTTAAAGAAGAGGAGAAGTAACAATAGACACTGTTGCACATACCTGAGATACTGCTGCAGCAGGAAATGGGCAACCATTC